CACTCAGCACGCGCACACTTGACACAGCCATCTCGCTAGGTATGCTCCCGACCGCGCGGGAGTGCCATAAAGGCCACATTAAAAGGGAGCCATTGCAGCCTAACTCTCAGTCCTCCCTCTCCTCCCATACGCACACACAAACACTAGCTGGCGCGATAGTCACTCAACACGCGCACACTTGACTCAACAAACTCGCTAGGTAGGCGCCCGCGTCCATTACCACAGGCGACCTGGCGCCAAAGTTCAAGAGTGGCAGTACGCTTCGCCTTGATCTTTAGCCAGATATAATATAAATTGCTTTTACGGCTCTTAGGAGTATGTATTAAAAGATTTTAACTAGCGTACTTGCCTGGCCTGCATGTAAGGACGGGAAGACCCAAAAGACACGACACGGTTCGCCAAGTTAGCCCATGGCCTTTCTGAAACAAATAACAGTTCCAGGTTCTTGCGCCTTTTTCTGAAAACGATATCGGGTATTTCTCATAGACTTTTCACCTCATCTTACCGAATTTCCCACCTTTGCTTTCGTTCGAAAACCCCAATTTTAAACTTCTTTCCACTTCCCAGGGAAAGATTATGCTCCCAAATCCAAAGTGTGCAAGCGGAACCCATTCTAAGGTTTATCCGTGAGATCTAGGTATCCTGCGTGATAAATATACAAGCACACCGCAATTCGACTTCATTTACAGAAACTGACCTATCAACATGCTTCAGACCTGCTAGGCAGAGGCGGATGTTGTATTCGATCCGTGTCCAGCGCGGATATTGGATAGGGAAGGGACCAACTGAATTTAGGAAGGACAGCCAGGGGAAGAGTTCCTTTGCAGACTCATCTTGGGGCTCCAAGGGCTCAGGGACATTTAACTCCAGCGCTTCAACACTCGGATGGCACTGGTTACTCAGGGCCTTCAGTGGGAAGCGGGAGTTTTCAACTAATTCCTAAAAATCAAAAGAAAGCACGTATTTAAAAAATGAAGTCACTTCAATAAATTCTTACTTGAGAAATAGAGTATGCTAGCTCAAATAGTAGGAATCGTCACTGGTGTCGATGTCCAAAGCTAAGCCGAATATAAACAAAACGGTGAATTCAAACAGTATGCTTGAATTAGTAGGCCGTTTTCCTTGTCACTCTCACGAATTTGCTCAAAAAATTCAATAGCAGAAAAAAAATTTAACTCAGCATATAGATGTGGTGCCATGTTTCAAGAGGCGTACGACCTGCCGCTGTTTAGTTCACTGAGAGGAGTTTCCGTCTGGACGGTGCCTGAAACGAACACTTTCCACTTACAGGCAGTTGTGTGTTGTCATACATAAGTAAAGGTAATCATAACGGCAGAGGCCCTATAAAAAGTTAAAAGATCTTTCATGAAAGGTTGCGATAAGCAGTAGATCATGAAAGCCTGCTGTACTAAGAATGGTACAATTATTAAGTGAAGAGAAGGAATGCAATCATCTAGAGTTGCATTAGGAAGTAGAATCGCAAATTCTTGGGAGGAATTAACGTAAGCAGTTGGAGACCATAGCGAGAACCATCATTGAGTCTTTTTATACTGACAGTCACGGAAGTTGCGCCTCTGGTTTTGCTAATTGAAATCCGAAGTCACGCTCTATTTTTCAAAGCTAGTTCTGGCAGATGTTTGGTTGGGTCATCAGTATGCGAGATATAGGCTTCCAGGCCATTGATTTTTGATTAGTCATTACTGATAATGACTTCACATCATCATCCCTGAAGTCTCAGTGAACTGAAATATTTTTATAGGGTTTGATCTTCAGGTCAAACTTGTGCGTGACCTCTAGTCACCGCTACGTCCAAGGCTAAGGAATACTAATGGTCTGCGGATCACAAGGTCTTTGAAAGAACAACTAAAGGAACATTTTATCTCTAGACGTAAACTAAAATTCTCGCATGATAACATTGGGTTTCATATAGGGATCAAAATCGCACAAATTTGCCGCATACTGAAGATAGGTTTCATACCAATAATCCGTACTTGTAAGGGGCTCTGGATGCTGTCCATCATACATATGATGACATAATCTTTACAGCGATTGCCTATCGGAAAGTGTCCACAGTAAACAAATAAACTCAGCACTTACTCCGTGAACGACAGTTTACTGGGGCTGTCTACTTCGTGGTGTGCGTAGGAAACGACCCAGCTGTTAACAAAAACAGCTACCTCAAGACACTGATGCAGCCTTTTCTCGAGCATGGCAACAAGGAGACGTACGCAGGCGTAGGTATTATTCATTTGACCCACTTGTGAAAATTCGGCAGCCTCGGTTGGATTCTAACGCACGCCCACAAGGACACCTCTGCGCATATAGCTGTCACGCCTCGAGGATCGCATGCCAACACAAGACAATTTTAGCTGTAACCCATCGGCTAAATATTCTATCCTATTTATCGGTCACTCACGTAAAC